AACTGATCAGCTCCACACGTCTGGCAGAGATCTGGGTCACATTCCCGCACAGCCAAATAGCAAGGGCATTGCTTTGTGTTGCACTGTGCCTTACACCGGCAGCCTGGAAACCGGTTCTGACCTATAAAGAAAATACAATATATATTAATGCCTAGTTAACTGAGTAAAAAGATATGAATTTTACAATAATAAATTTAGGTTCAAATTTGTAAACAAATTTGAAGAAAAAAGGGAGTACAATAGGTGAGTGCATCAATTATTCACAGACTCCAATAAAGCCTATGATTCACAAAGGACAGACGTACTCTACAATATTCTCAAACAAAATCTACAGTAAAGTCTCTACATGTAACTATTAGTCTGATGCAGTTCCTACCAAGATTTTCTGAAACACGATGCCTTATCACCATTGTTTTTCAATTCTGCTTTAGAATACACCAGCAGGAGGTTCTAAGAAACAGGAGGGACTGAAAGTCAATGGAACAATCAGCTTCTGATGACTGCTGATGTTAACCTACTAAGCAGGAAGACAGAAGCCTTATCAGACATTATTAAAGAGATCTATTTAGAAGCAAATATAGAGAAAACAAAATATTCATTAGTGTCTCAACAACAGACTGTATAGACAGCTAATCATATTTGTTGGTAATTAGAGACCATAAGTATGCTTCAGCAATAGTGTTGCCATATCAGTCCCCCCTGATCTCTCCTGTCATTCATCAGCAATGAACCGAGGTCTCAGTAAGTCAGTCTTCTGCGTCAAGGTATGCAGTCACCTGATATATTTGTTTTGGTTCAAGATTATTACAGCAAGCAATGTCTGACTATTTCCTGGAAAACAAAAAAAACATACATAAAAAGTACAGTGGTGAAATTAAAGTTCCACACTGGAGTATACTGGATGACAAAAGTTCATCATCTTAACAATATATGGTGAAGAGTCCAAATTATGAATCTCCTTATTATGTAGATTTCTCCACTTTCCTGTTACTTCCTCCCTTCAGGCTCAAATATTCTCCTCGGCACCTTGTTTCAAAACATTCACCAACAGATGGAACACTTCCACAAGGAAGAGGGGAAAGATAGTAATGGGTGCAGAATCCTTGCATATATTTGGTGTCTTGTATTCTCAACAGACTAAGGCCTCCAATGAAAGGACAGACATCACCACTGATTGACCAAAGCCTATCTTGGCTTCCACTCACATTAGTGTTATCAGCCACTATTATAGTTCTTCATGAAGTTCACTTTAACCATCAGATGAAACTGCTTTATCAGGGTCACTTTTCAACATTAACTCCTATTCCATATCTCTTCTATTACTTAATACATGTTCTAAGCGGCCTCTGTAGTCTAGAGGTAATGTTCCCACCTCATGACTCAAGGTACGTGGGTTCAAACCGGGTGGAGGTCGTGGAATTTTTAAGGGCAGAAAAATTCAGGGAACAAGTCCTCGGGGAGGGACTTTAAGCCGTGGGTCCCATGTCATAGACTTATGGCATGTAAAAGATCCTCATGTCTCTAGGAGACCTCTGAGCAAAAATAGGCAACACATTTCCTGCCTAAGTAGTTTCCAATGCCTTCGGTAGATGGGGAAGTTATCGGGTACCAATGCCAGAAGAGGGCTGACCTCACTGGCAGAAAGGGGAGAATAATCGGGTACCACTGCCAGTAGAGGGCCGACCTCACTGGCAGAAAGGGGAGATAGCGGGCACCAGTATCAGTAGGGTATGGCGACAGTAGAAATTAAAGGGGGACGTACAACAGACTATTAGTCACGGTGCATGGGGAAACCCACCCCCTCTATACTGAATAACTGAATAATATATGTTCTATCATAAACTCGTGTAATATGAAGATCTCATTGTATTTCACCCTTGCTTAAGTGTGACAATATTATACAAGTCATACCTGTGATTTCAGAGACTTCCAGTGGTGACAACCACAAACAGGCGTGAAACCTGTACATTCTTTTAGTTCATCTACTGTCTTCCTTCTAACTCATTCACATGCAGCTACAGCTGAGCTGACAGCAGCCTGAGCACATATGAATGGTTCACTGACAGGCTATCAAAAAATCTCATGAGTTGATTACAAAACACTCAATGCATGAAAATCCAAAGAATTTCTGCACCACAATGCTACATGCTGACTTGAAATAAAGGAATGGTTTAACACTGCAATACTGCAACACCAGGCCAGCTGTACTGCACATATGTCATTGCAATATTGCAACACACAGGTCATTGTGAGGTGAAGGCAAGATTAGATTTAGTGCTAATTAAAGAATCTGGAACAGTTGCACATTCCTAAATAATGGTATTATTTGACAGCTGATACTCACAATCAGAGCTGCATTGGCAGAATTTCTCACAGAAGTTCTGCGCACCAATGCATGGGCATAACATCTGGTCACAAGGTTGATTGGGATGATCACATGGAGTGAAGTTGTATACATGATTTGAACTCGAGTCCTTCTTCAGCTGGATCTTGCGACAATGCATAGACCACAAACGGTGCTTCTTCTTCTTCTTGCGGGGTGGTGTGAAGTCTTTCAGCGATTCTTCTGTTGGAATGTCAGCAGCTTCTTTCTGGGCAAACTGGTAAACCTACAAAAACAATGTAACATACATTCATACCTTGTATGTAAAGCACAAGTCTGATTCTCACTACACAGGAACAAAAATGTATTGGCAACAACACATAATAAAATATGGCCAGAAATCCAGAAATACAACTCAAATCTATTAGCCACTTAACAAAATACACTTTCCCATACTTTTGCACTATGCTTCTTATAAACATTTTTAAAGGAAAGTGTTCAGAATGTATCTGTAAGTTTGTTTATATTCAGAATATTATTTGGATTAGGCAAAGTTAAATGAAGAACTGGATAGGATTTGAAAACTGAAGGAGAATCTGCAAGTGAAGAGTCAAGCAATGAAATGTCAGAAAGTGAGAGTGAAACAAATGTTGCTGCATGTTGATGAGTGTGAAGACATGAAAATGGGTAACAAGAAACCCAAGGCATACACATTTATTAAAAATGCAGAAACACAATTTAACCTTCTGCCAGATGCAGGGCCCATGGATTATTTTATTTTTCAAACATTTGTTCATGAATTTACGCACTTTTTTCATGGTCCTGGCTAAATGCCCATAACAATAATGTTAAACTTTAAAAGATTTCATGTTTCAACAACTTCACATTTTCCTTCAAATTGCACTTCATTTTTCCAGTCCTGGCTGTGAAAATTTAGCAAGTTTTACATTTTGTTGTTCACTTCTCACAATTTCTTATCCAAGACAATGGATCTCCTTCCCTGTTAGCAGTAGCAAATAGTTCAGTCTGAGAATATGTATCAAGTGGCTGCTGATTCATGGCTACAAGTGATTCAGGTGCACACCATGTGGCTCCACTACAGCCTAGCATGCATGAGCAGAGCTTGCGCACTCTAGGTTAGCTTTGAACCTGATACATCTTGATATAACAGTAATTCAGCAAGCGCATTTTGTCTCTCCCATGTATGAGAAGAGTATCAAAGAATGACCTTTGCAGCACAGCAACCACTGTGTTTTCATAACTGAAACATTTAACATAAATTATTTGTTTTTCCTCTGCCCATGTGACTCCACTTCTTTAAGACCAAATGTTATTACAGACTGAAACGAATTTCACAGCAAGAGAATGAAATATGAACAATATGGGAAAATCTAAATCACTTATAATAAGTGCTAAAATAAATATTCTAGTTCCAAAATGATATACATACTGAACAGGCATCACAGTTGAGACTTTCAGTGCCCAAACTAAACCCTATTGTGAAGAACTATGAAGAAACTGAAAGGAGTTTCATCGAATGTGGATCTTTCTCCAAGCAGCAGAAATCATTGAAAAGTTCACCACTGGAGGAACTGGAATCTGCACTTGCTGCATAGTTCAGCAAGCACATGAGAGTAATGCTTCTACAGATGGCATCCAATTTTAGGAAAAAGGCTTATACATTTGTGTTTGTCTAGAAACAGCCAACTTTTGAACTTCCAATAGTTGGAGCAGCAGAGTTAAAGAGGTGACACAACATTGCTTCTAGAAATCCAACATGTGAGGGCAGGAGCACTGATTCAGAAACCATAGAAGACTGGAAAAATTACTGAATATTGCAAAAAATAATGCTGATGAGACAGGTCTATTTTCCAGTTTATAACCTAGCAGAACTTTTGCCATGGTGGTACAAAATCCAAGCAGTGGATTACTGTGCTCCTCGCATGCAATGAAGATGATAGTGATAAACTACCATTCTAGTACTTCTTTTGGCTTATTTTGGACTTCACCCATCGTCTGGTATGTAAAAGACAAAAAACCACGACGTTTCGGAGACTGGATCTGTCTCCGTCTTCAGGTGGATAGGGAAGGATAAACCTACTCAGTTGGGCCCCTTAGAAAGAGCTAGTCTCAATCACTGGACAAACCCCGGTCTGTAGAAAAACAACCTATGAACAACCGACAACCGGTTCCATCAGTGGGAGGAAAGAATAAAATATCCTTTCCTATACACCTGAAGATGGAGACAGATCCAGTCTCCGAAATGTTGTGGGTTTTTGTCTTTTACATACCAGATGATGGGTGAAGTCCAAAATAAGCCAAAAGAAGTACAGTATACACCATCGTCAGAATCCTTTCAAGTCTATCTACCATTCTAGTAATTGGAAAATACAGAAGTCCATGTTGCTTCTGGAATGTCAACAGACTACTTACAAAACATGAAGCTAATACAAGTTTTTGGATGATCACCAAAATATCTGAACATTACCTCCCATAACCGGTTAGAAAACTGGGTGGTACAAAATGTACAAATATTGCTTTAACCAGTGTGCTCATCATTTGAAGAACACCACATTCTTCAGCAACACTATACAACCCAACCACAGTCTTCATATTTGGGAATCATCAAACAATTTGAATGCCACTACAGAAAGCAGTTGATATGAAATAATGCATCCATTATAAATTGGGGACTATTCCAAGATACTACACAGATGAAGCTAGATGTGTTGTCTGCATGCACTTCATAGCAGAAAGCTGAAGACTGACAACACCCACTAGAATCAATAACTGCTTTGTGCAGTTTCTTGATTGACAATGCCAGCAGCAATGATGACAGTGCAGTGAAACTAAATGAAGATGACAGGGATGACTGGCACAGTTTACAACCTCTCGTAATGCAGTCTGAGGACTAATGAACATGTGACAGCGCTCTCAAGGTCTGTGGAGTCCAGAGTGTTGACTAGGTGTTAGATTTGACTAGGACAGAAGAACCAGAAGAGGACATAGAAGCATCCACAAAGTGCTTATATCGATTTGATACCAAGAACAGTTTTACTGTAATGTGCAACAAAGTGGAAAATGGTTTATACACACTGAGAGCTCAAGGAGAAATAAACAAAAGAATGACTGGTTGAAGAAATAATGTAACTAGGTATGTAAAATATTTGCCAGTCATTCTAAGCAAATGCTTGGATAGTGCCTTGAACTAGGCCATGACCACTTCCTCTCACATGCTTTCCATCCACCAATTATAATCAGCATCTCGTCTGACCAATGTTACATAAACATGGCAGTTGATAAAGCTTTGCAAAAGAAGCCAAGAACCATATTTCCATTCACATATCACCATATCACATTCAAACAAGTATATTTTAAATGATTTTCCAAAGCTGTGGTATAAAGAAGTCCACAGTTTTCTTTATGTTGCAACATTCATATTTCCCTGATTTTACATTTCCCTCACTTTTACATTTGTTTTGGGCAGTCCCTTAAAAAGAGTAAAATCAAGGTTTCACTGTATATAAGTTTACAATGCTGACTAATGGTAGAATTAAATCAACTGCACTTCTTTACTTTGGGCGACTAAACACAATCTTGAGATATAGTGCAAAATGAGGACAGCGGGTGTGAAACCTGCTGTCCGGTCTCCTGCACATCCCATGACAGATATCATATGAAAAGAAGCATTAAAAGATTGAATCACTTTAAAAAATGAACAACTTGGACAAACAGGACCTACTAAATGCCAGTGTAACCTCCATAAATTCAATATGATTGGCTAGAGATTGATCCCCAAATGGATGATGACTGACCAATATGTCTGTGACCGAACATCAGAGTCAAGTGGGTACAAATCCTGCTTTATATTTAAGAATCCCAGGTTTATACTCTGGCCTGAACACCAGCCATCCTGACAGGTATTTCATGGCTTTCCTTTATTCCTCAAAGTTAGTACCTCAAATTAGGCCTCAACTCTTTCTGCACATAACACTTTCAATTCATTAAACACTAGTAATCCTATCATTTGATACCATATACTCTGAGGTACTGAAACAACATTAAATAAACCAGGAATCGGTAGGCGAGATCTGAAGTTATAACAGCAGTGATTATGAAGAGGATTATTGTCTCAAATGTGATACAATGTATACCTGGTAGAAGTTTACAAATATTTTGAGGACCCTACAGCCTCCACCATCAGGGTCAAAGAGTTTGTCAAGCAAGCAAATTGTACAGAGTTTTTGCTATTTGTTTGGCTGTGAAATACCAGTAAACTTCTACCAGACTACATACTGTCACATCCCAGCAGACAACTATCTTCAAGAATAAATATAATAAAATAAATTGCCCATGTAAAGGACAAGCCAAGAAACTGAATATGGACTGAACGTGAGTAAGACATAAAGCCGACATACTATACACGTGCAGAGCAACTAGACGAAAAAAAAAACTGCCTACACGTTTTGATGAGCATTATTTGAGAGATGGAACAGTAGCTGCTGAGGGAATATACTTGCCAATATTTTGGTGAACATTACTTGAGAGACAGCACAGTAAATGCAAGGGAAACAAATATCATAAGACATAATTAATGAGCACTATTTGAGATTACTACAGTAACCATACAGAAACAAACCTGCTGACACGTTTTGGTGAGCATTATTTGAGAGATGGCACAGTAATTGCTGAGGAAAACTTTGTGCAGGGCTCGAAACAGTGACTGGTCAGCACCAGTCCATTCATAATTATCATCAGCACCCATGGTACCCAGCAGAGAGAAAGAGGTTGTTGTAGACATTGGCTCCTGGCCCCCACTACTGTCTTGAAGTGCCGTTTTAAGTCCAGGGTTTCCACAGTCCTTCCTGGGGTTACGCTTGAACTCTATGGAACAGGAACAGAGCATACAGCACTGTTAAGATAGAGACAGTGAAAGTTGACCACAAGTGTTCAAATAACAGTTTTATTCTTATATAAAAGTTAAACATATATACACCAAAATCCACAGTTCTATATTTCAGCAGATTTTGTAGGAATAATCAGAAAAGAAATAAACGTATTCAACTACAAATTATTTCATTTTCTGCGTAAAAGAGAGCTCTGTATTTTATCAATATAAGACTTATGCTTAGTTAACCCAGTTGGCAAATATATAGTTCTTCATTTCTACTGATTTACAAAATCACCTTTGTTGTTTGATTAAATACCTCCTCAATCCAGCCTTTTCAATATAGGAATATCTGATTAAGATAAATCAGAGGGGCTGATGGCCTACATTTTGAGTTCCACAATTAGTATGACATTTAGACAAACAACTGTGAAGCCAGTATTTATTTACTGTATTTCAGCAGTCCCTTATATACATAATATCCACAGTACATACATCAGCAGTAAAAAGTGTATAAACACTACTGACTGTTGACCTGTTCTGTAGTGTGTGCCTATTTTAAATGCTCCCTCTTTTCATCAACATTGTCTATGCATGATTAACTGCCCATGGGCATACATGGGTTCACATACTGACACTTCATGGCCTGAGCTAGAATAACACTTTGCTGCATTATTGATGATATGCAAATATAAAAATTATATACAAACTGGGAGTAGTCAGTGCAGAAAATTGTAAATTACATGATTAATTGTTTACAGTCATCCATTTAATGGAAAAATTCATGGCTAATAATTAATTTTTGGTTCAAAAGTTTTTGTATATAATTAGGGACATGAAAATAATAATGTGAGAAAATATGGCAAATTAAGAAAAGAAACGAGTCACTGGAAAGAAACTTGTAATTCAACTTTTCACTCGCCTTTGTCATACTTGTTACTGTCATTGCTGTCTTCAGAGCTGGCTTCATTTCCAGAGTCAACAGATGCCTGTTTGCGCACCTTTCTAGGTCGCTGCTGGGCTGATGAGCCGTTTATTATCTTCTGCTGTTCTCCAGTGCCTGAACCTTGCGACTCAATGATAGCATCACTTTCTTCTTTAGTCCTCTCTGCTATGGCTGCCAGTTTCTCCTTCATCCCTTCCTATACATCAAGTTCCATTTCACATCTGTTGTTAGACTCTTTTCTGCTAACAAAGTAAATTTTCTGTCAGCAGACATGGTTACCACTATGCTGTTATAATAATGAATTATCTTTGAAGAAATGTTTCTATTAACAGATGGTTTTTAAACTTCTGAAATTAATAAAGTGAAGTTTTTACAGAACTGTAATAACGGATTTTGATTCAGTTAATGTAACCTTTATTTTTATTGTGACACTATACTTGGAGATACGAACCAAGATACTATAGAGACCAGGCTACAGGCTGGATCATCAAGGATTCAAGGTTCAATTCCCAGTAGGAGTAAGCGAGTTTTCTCCATAATGTCCAGAATACCTCTGAGGCCCACCCAGCCTCCTATACTATGGGCACTGGGGACTCTCTCCCTGGGGGTAAAGTGACAGAAATGTGAAGCTGACCACCCACCTCAATCTAGTGGCAAGGTTAAGAATGGTGGAACTATACCTCCACTCCCTGTAAGTCTTCAAGGCAATGGGATTAATAAATTAAGCACAGACATAATTTCATCTTTTTACTTTGCTTTAGAATATGCCATTAGGAAGGACCAGGAAAACCAGGTGGGACCGAAATTAAACGGGACACATCAGCTGTTGGCCTATGCCGATGATGTGAATCTACTGGGTGATTATATAGATGCCATAAAGAAAAACACACAAACTTTAATTGACGCAAGTAAGGAGGTTGGTCTAGAAGTAAACACAGAGATATGTTGTTGTCTTGTCACCAAAATGCAGGGCAAAATCATGACATAAAGATAGCAAACTGATGTTTTCAAAATGTGGCACAGTTCAGATATTTGGGAACAATGATAACAAACAAAAACCTGATTCAGGAGGAAATTAACAGGAGGCTGAACTCAGGCAATGCTTGCTACCATTCAGTCCAGAACTTCTTGTCTTCTCTTCTGCTGTCCAAAAACATAAAAATTAGAATATACAAAACTATAATTTTGCCAGTGGTTCTGTATGGGTGTGAAACTTGGTCTCTGACATGAGGGAGGAACATAGACTGAGGGTATTTGAGAACAGGGAGTCGAGAATATTTGGACCGAAGAGGGATGAAGTGACAGGAGGTTGGAAAAAACTGCATTATGAGGAGCTTCATAACTTGTACTCTTCTCCAAGTATAATCAGAATGATCAAGTCAAGGAGGATGAGGTGGGCAGGGAATGTAGTATGAATGCGGGAGACGAGGAATGCACATAGGATATTGGTGGGAAAGCCAGGAGGAAGGAGACACTGAGAAGATCAAGGAATAGGTGGGTGAACAATATTAAAATGGATCTTAGAGAGATAGGATGGGATGGTATAGATTGGATTGATCTGGCTCAGGATAGGGACCAGTGGAGGGTTCTTGTGAACACGGTAATGAACCTTCGGGTTCCATAAAATGCTGGGAAATTCTTGAGTAGTTGCAGAATTGGCGGCTCCTCCAGAAGGGCTCAGCTCCATGAGTAAGTAAGTAAGTAGGTACCTTATTATATCTGGAGATAGCATGTTGCAATATAATCATATTCCATGTCAAGGTGATTAGCTGTTGATTTTGTACTGACTGCTTTAAAATGTTTCTGTATCAGATACTCACCAAATGCATATAGCAGTCAGATCCACAAGGGTCAGAGAATGGCTTCAAATCGGGCCCCTTCCTCTTGTGCAGACTGGGTCCGGGATGGTATACTTGGAGACCTGTACACAGACAACTATGCCGCTATCTTACAAATAATTACTGACATATTTTTTGTTCAGTATAACAAAAATATTACTCATATATTCAAGTGACAGTGGTAAAATAAGCACACTGAACCAAGATGAAATTCTGGGCAGAACTTATGACATCTATTTCCCATCAGATGCCTCATTCTGTATGTCATAGCTTACAGCAACTTAGATATGTGGAGAGAGTGTGGCCATGCAAGGTTTCTCTAAATTTTTCATCGTTTTAAAATTATAGCACCATCCTCTGGAAATTGAAAACTGACAGTAACAAGAACAAAATAAGTGAAAGTTATTCCAGTAAGTCTGATACCTCCCTGTTTAGCAGGTATTCTAGAATATGTACAGGATTACAAAATATAAACAAACTCACACTGTATTTATTTATAATAAACAAGAATATGTTTTGTAATTGTTTAATTTTTATAGTCATTAATTAAGCTGAAAAGTTGGTTGAATTTTAATTTGTTGATGCTTCTGGTGTATCTGCGCGCTCACACACATCATTACAGAGTATTTTCAAAGGGAAAGAACATTCACAACAACCTTACTCTTCAGGATTGGCAGCACTATAACTATTTCCTTGGGCACGTAAAATAGGAATTTTCATAAGATGTTGAGTGTACTGTGATTTCATAACTGTGAACGTATGATGCAATCTGAACCACTGTCAGTGCTGTAATTTTTCTGATTTCAAAGGAAATTTTCCACTTTAGCCAAAGCAGATGCATGACTTGGATGCAAGCCTTAAAATTAACGGTCATGTGTAGGGTGGTACGCATGACAAATATAACAGGTTCTAGTATGGCTGATTGGATTTATTAGCACTTTGGTTACAAGTTTTCTTAATTACCATTAATACAGCTCTATCGTTGATTTACACACTTTCCAGTCTACCACTGCACATGCACTGGGATTCTCAGTTTCCATTTGTCATCTCCTAGCAGTGGGTCTCAACATGGAAACTAGCACTTCAAATCACTATGAAGTCTTCTTGGTATTTTGTCTTCAATCACTCTGAAACCTCGAAACTAAAAATTCTTCTGGACTAACTCCTCCAGCTTACAACTGACTCATAGCTGTCCTGAACGAATTGTGTCACTCTCTTCTCTTATAAGCAGTCTGCACAGACACCATGGAAAACACTGTCTCTATTGTTGATGATGTCACCACTGATTAGAATTGCAATATCATCTGCATATTCTACTGTATAATAATCAGTCACTGAGATCCCAAACAAGTTCATCCGCAACTAAGCTTTACAGCAGAGGCAAAAACACACTTGTATGTGGGCATCTCCTAGCTGTGGACTCCCTCAAGGTTTCTCCCAGCAATGTATGAGGGCTATTCAGAAAGTAACCTCCATTTGTTCTAGGCAACTAACGTAGGAACAGGGGAGAGCTCGCGCATTAGAGGTAGCATCACGTGAATCATTGCCTTGTAAACCATTACAAAACTGGTCACCCAGAGTTTGTTCTTGTCTCTACAGAGTGAGTCATGATGTGTCCTACGATTGATAACCCACCAGCTTCGAAAGTCACGCTGTTATTCATTTTCTTCAAGCTTAAAACAGGTGTGCTATGAAAATCCATCGTGAATTATGTATAATTTAAGACCAAACTGTAATAAGCGAAGGAATTTTAAGACAATGGTGTAGAATGTTCAGAGATGAATGAACAGATGTTTATGATGAAGAACAAGGTAGATGGCCATCTGTAGTGAGAGATGAGCTTCTTCAGAGTGTTGACCATAAAAACTTGTGAAAGACGCCACTTCACAATTTCAGAACTTTTGTGTCAATTTCCACTAATTTCATGTACTGTTCTCTAAGAGATCACAGTTAGGCTAGGCTATCGCTTGTTTTGTGCAACATGGGTTCCAAAAATGCTCACAGTGCACACAAAATGCAGAGAATGGCTTTGGCTTTGATGCGTTACTACAAAAACAGCGATGAATTTCTCAATCACATTGTAACAGGTAATTCAACTTGGATTTCATTTGTGAACGTTGAAACCAAAGAGAAGTCAAAGCAGTGGATGCACATGTATTCATCAAAAAAGCTGAAGAAGTTTAACCAAACGCTGTCTGCCAGAAAACTGATGGCAACTGTTTCTGAGACAGGATAGGAGTGCTGATGGTGGAATTCATGCAACAAGGTACCACAATGATGTCAGAAATGCATTACAAAACGTTAAGAAAATTGTGCAGGGCCGGTCATTCAGAACAAAAGGTGTGGAATGCTATTATCCAGTGTAGAGCTCCTCAATGATAAAGCACATCTCCATATGAGCACAGCTGCTCGCACTCAAGCACTGGTGGAGCATTTCATCTGCACAGCAACGACAGCCTAGGCCACAGTATTAATCTTGAGTTCCATTTATACCATGGACTTCGTGGTGTGATGCATTATTCAACTAAAATTACAACAACTATAATGTGCAGAGAAAACTAAGTACTGGAAATCTATTACTGGCCCTCGCTGGATCTGTAGTGAGTACTACTGCTGGAGTAGTATGAAGTTCATATCAGCTTTAATTAACCCCTTGGCAGCCAAGCCCCACCACAGAGCTATCTGCTAGAAATGTCACTGCTGCTTAGGGGTAAATGCAGTTGCACAGGAAAACCTACAATACTTCCTCAGATTGCTTCCAAATGACCATAGGTACAGATGATGTGAAAGCCTGTTCTTTCTGACAAACACTGGTATCTAACATTTGATGCCATATACTGACAGAAATACCGATTGAGTCCATTTCTTCAGCTGACAGTTTTAACATAAGTATGCTTAGTCAATCTAATTGGCTCTTGGTATTCAAATCCAGTGAGTGATGGAAAAATTATTAGGGTGCGGACTGACAGACAGGCTATTCTACAATTACATAAGAAAAACAGAACAGCATTACAGTGAGCAGCAGAGACCTTCATCACAACCCATACACCTGATGATGGCCGATGAGGCTGAAACATGTAGTGGCAATAAAGAGAAAACGATGAAAGAATATCAACTGACATTGCACATAAATGGCAAAAAAGTGGAATGCAAAGGCAGATCTACATCCTATAGGCTTACATGCAATGAGTTCCAACTTACACACTTAGTAAATGCTCATAAAATCCCATGTGCGACATTTTGTAGACTGTATCCTTTACCTCACTGACAATGAGTTAGGAATGGGCATCAAGCAAATACGCCTCAAAATAAAAACACAGGGTGATAGGTTTCAGGTAATATACAAATAGTGCACAGCATCATAGTGCATCATACACTAGCTACTCACGGTGAAGGAAGCAGTCATACTTGAAGCACCGTCGGCAGAAGAGCGTGTGGAAAGAATGCATTGTCTGTTCACGTGGAACTGATTCTGCTGCTGGACCATCAATGTTGGGTGTGCATTCAGGTGGAAGTGCATTGGGATCCAGCCGTTCAGTCAGTTCAATGTATCTGGAATTACATATAGTATATTATAACTGAAAGGCCTATATGACAATTCTGAAGGGCCTTTTACAGTTTAAAAATTTTCTCATGGGAAACAGATTTAAACATTGAGGGAAAAATAAAAATTTAAAACCATTACAAGTGGTCTTGAATAATATAAAATAACTACAGTGGAATGTCCACTTACAATTTTTCTTCATTTAATGTACAGAAATCTGTGGTTCATTTAACATGATTTTCCTCAGTTTAATGTTCACATCCACTGTTCCCCAAAGAAACCTCATATGGCAGTTTCACTGTAATTAACTCCAAAAAGAGAGATCTTCTTGAGATGCTAATAGTTGCATATCTACTCAGGTAATTCTCCGCTGTGTTCATTAATGTGTTACAAATGCCTTAAGATCAGATCAGGAAGTGAACACTAAACAAAATTCTTTATTTTGTAACTAGCCATGTGACAGGTTAGGCATACAGCCCCATACTTAACACATTCTCTCCCCCTTTTATAGGTCCATAGCTTGCACCAGGAGCCACTGGCTTTTCATGGGCTCATGTGAAGTATTCTGCAGCAGTAATTCTTTATTTTTTAAATTTTCATCAAAATAACTCTCGAAATGGCCACTAATAAACCTGTGTTACTGGCATTGACCATGTTCTGATCAATGAACATGTGTCATCAACTCATAACAAATACATCCAATTACTAAACAAAATGCAAAATTACTTTTCATGGTTCAGAATAACATAATTCAAGGAAAGCTCACTGTTTAAGTTACATTTTTTGCACTTACACATAAGAAGTTCACAAAAAGAATTTTATAAAATTCTGAGAACTGAGATAAGAGTGAGATTTTCTTTCACTGTAATACTGATTTATGACACTAGCCACTTTTTCACAATGCAGTAAAATGTACTACTGTATTTACCTAAATGGAAAATGATTCTAAATGCAAGATATGTGTCTGCGCATAAAAAGCTATTTTATGAATTAATTTCTTACTAATACTACAAACACATAAAAGAGATGAAATACTTGGAAATACGTTACACATGAAATTTACTGAGTTAGTTTCCTAGCTCTTATTCAACTTGCAGCCGACCGCCGACTTACAGTTGCCACGACTGTCGCTCGAGCTTGAGTTCTTTCTCTCAGGGATACAGGTGCTTCGGAGAAGGGAATGGAACACACTTCGGGGTAAATAAATCCGGGATCTCCAGAACACACCGTGGATGGTAGTTTTAATTTAAAGTTTCACTGATGATGAATATGTACATTATTCTCCCAGCTAGCCGCTCCGTCCGCCGACTAGCTACAACTACTCTTGAACACCTCTCTCCTCTCTATCTACACTCCAAGTACTGTCCTCCTCCGCTCCCTATAGCCGACCCCCAACTTTACAAGTCCCCCAGTTGGCATCAGAAAAATAAGGAAATAAAAAGGGAAAACCAAGGGTCTAGCCCAACATCTGGCCTACATTCGTATTTTTCGAGATGCCCATAAACCTCTGTCGGTCTTCAAGGAATCCAAGACCCCTCCCGGCCGGTCTCGCACACGGTCAGTTCATGGGTTTATGATATACTGGGAGTAAACAGGTGGCGTTAGGGACAATAGCGGCACCCTTAGCCTAAGGAGGACAATAGCTGAATTACAACTAGAAGGTCCGGGGATGGTACCTCGCCGATGGAGCGTCTCTCACGGTATTAAACAATGCATAAATAGTTCATAATCTTAATTATATAATTTTGACGAGGGAAGTACGGTTACAAACTTCACCAATAAACATCCTTAATGTTTTCATGTATGAAAGAAGTCTAAAATTGTATTACCCAAGTCAGGTGCATTCCAGCACCATCAGTGAATGAGTGCATCTGATCCTGTTGATCAACACCTTACATGTATATACAGGAAGAAGAAGAAATGAATATAGTTTGTAGGTATAAATTATAAATACCATATTTTCTTGAATATCACACACATTTTTCAGAAAAAATTTGTGCCAAAAATTGGGATGAGTAGCTTATTCACAAAGCCAACAACCCTACTTATTTGTCATATTTAGCACTCAGGAACATCCCAAAAACGCAGCAGCCAACTCCCCTGTTAGCTTTCATACTCACGTCTCTCACACTACTAGTGAGAGTGCAGTCATTTCAGTTTATTCATGGGGGAAAGTCAGTTTTACATATTGATTTTGAGTGACAAAAATCAGTACAAAGGGTATGTGATTATGATCTTTCATGGCAGGTAAAATGTTAAAGATAAAGGATAAAGGATGAGTGCAAACATATTTCCCCAATATTTGTAGAAAATAATTTCGAAAAGTGCACTACAGCCTTGAACAGGTCACAAGACAGTTTCATTTGGTAGAGTGATGACCGTGTTGAGCTCTACTGATGATGATAATGTCAAAAGCAATGGAGAATAAAATGCTGTAGGCACATAAACTTTGTTTCTGATTAGCATGTTTTATGTGATAAACTAACAACAGAATAAAGAAGTACCATAACAAACACTACATCCTTTTCACATGGCAGAACACCAGGTCTCAGAAACTGTGAATGTTGTGGAACAAGAAATAACAACAGACGTGCTCTCTTATATGAAATAATGTTTATCATTTCATATGTTTATCAACGTTTGATGTTTAGTTAACGTTTAATACTTGACATTTTTTTAAATTGTTTATTATCTGTCTTAAGAGTTGGGATGTGTGGCTTAGTTGAGAAAACACAGTATATGTAAACTTCTTACAGTTGTTCTCACAGTTAATTTAGCAAGAATCCTGACTAGAACTCACTTTTCACGCAGTTCCTCTGTACGTCCTTTATCAGGAAACATGGCTGATATGGCTTGGAATATCACTGTGTGTGGGAATGGCTTGGCTACAGCAGCCCCACCTGATGACCCTGACTTGGATTCTCCTGAACATCCCCGACTGCCTGATGTCACACCTCCACCAACAGATTTCTCCTTTTCTTTCCCTTCCTTCTCACCACCTTTCTCCTGGTTTGCTTCTTCCTAGAAATGAGGTGTTCAGCTTTATAATTCAAATCTTGATGAGAGAGCCTCTAATGTCCTAATTCTGTAACATTAACTCCTAAACTGTTAACATTTCCATTATCAATGAGAGATAACATACTGCAAAAATGCATCTGACTCAGAATCTGTATTTTAACATATAATATGATCCTGAACATGTAAATATACATGTCTAGCCCAAAATGTTAATAAAACATTACATGTGCGAAATGAAAGCATATATTAAGCTGCAAACATTTTAATGTAGTGCTGTAACTCTCAAAAGTTTTTTCCTGCTGGGGCAAGTCAATTACTATGCAGACATGCATGCAGAGCACCTACAGTATATCCAACCTGATTTCCATTAGCTGAAGATAAGGCATACTCTGCATGCCAGAAAGTTGATTTACTTCTGTGGTTGAAGATTTTAAATCATACACTGCCTCTGATATAAATTTAACTCAGTGCACCTGAAATAATCACCACCAATTTACAGATCTGTGATGAAATGAAAAACATTTGAAAGATACAAAGTGTCTTGTGACAATGTTATATTTTAGCGTCCTGTTGCACTGATTTATGTCCATGATTTATTTTAACCGTCTCACAGTGCATACATTTATTCACCTTACTCTTCTCTCTTGCACTACATGTTTCTGCACAAAAGTGCCATCTTCAGGTGCTTTTCGTTGTACGTCAAACTACTTCATTGCATGCCCTGTTGTCTTTATACTAAAATATATACTCGTCATATATATTGATAAATTTTAAATATTAAAAATATTAAAACTGTTCAGGATTTGTCATCCTTATGTCGTATCTCAATACGCGAGTCACACCTATCTTCCTCTATCGGAGCATTCTTCCTACTTTCGTGTGTGTATTGTGCTTTGTGTTGTGTCTTGCTCCTGTGACTGCGTGATAACATTTAAGCACTGTGGCAAAGAACTCCATACATACCACTAGCAGGTAATTTAAAATACAACATGTAAAGGTTAAATTGCACGATTTCATAAAACAGAATAAAATGAGTGGCTCTTACATCTTTATTTTGATATTGCATAAGTGCATTTACTAATTCAACAAATATGGCATCATCAATAAACCCCGCTTCCCTGTCTCCATGCACTTTTCCATCGTAGTTCTTTATGAGCTCTTCTATGAATGTGCCATCCTGGTCAAGGATTTCATCTCCCATGTATGGAATGTTGTGTAGTACTGTCTCATCCTCCACCTGCAAAATCATCATAGCTTGTTACTAACACTTCACACCATAGGGGCGCTTAGAAATAGGGTGTTGGTAAAATGTTTGGATTAATCAAGAAACTGATGTTTCTGACAATAACTGTGTACTTCCTGGGTAAATGAAGTGTAGTCTCAATCAGATAAATTTAGGCTGGTTTATAGAACAGGAATGTGAAAATGTTTCCCAGTGATAATACACACATGTAAAGAATATGGATACTTTTATCAGCAGTTATGTAATTACTCCCTAAACCCAACCCCTGCCCCCTAGAACTTCAATTAGATCTGTGATGAAAGTTAAAGTACTTCAGTAATATTAAGTTTGTCACTGTAACACTTTCAGCATTCTATTTCATCAAAAATGCAAATAGTGATTGACCCAAATGGAACTTGTATTAACAGAGAGAATACATTTTTGACTCACATAAGAACAGTAAGTAAAATTATGATAATGGTAGGGAATGGCTCACTAAAATCAACACTAAACTGAAAATACTGTCATGTGTATTAGTGACTAAAGATGCAGGTCTGGATCAGTGAGTTGATGTACTGGGTATTCACTAGTTGTAACTACAAATAATTATAACACTTTCATATATAAATAGTCTTCTATATCTGCTCTAACTAGCCATTGCAAGGTAAAAGATCTAAACAATGGCTATTCCTCTGCAAAGTTTTCCCTATCCATTTCCTGGCAACAGACTTTAACTCAGGAACTGCAACTGTTGTATTCCAGATATCACTGCACTACAGCACATATAAAGCCTTCAAATCACATGTTCAACATCTCTAGGAATGGTGACATTCCTTGGCCTGCAAGGTCTCTCAGACCTGTCGGCAAGAGACTTTTTCATGGTGCACTCAAAAAGCAAAATGTAAACTCATCATTAGGGACTGTATTTTAATGCAAATGCATATTCCTTTCTTGCAACCAAAAAGTATGCTCAGTTAGATATATGTATGAATTACTTTATTTTTTTAATTTTAGACATAGGTTGATGGTGCATGTAAATGCATATTTTGCCTGTTTCATGAATAAGCATAACAGTTTCAAGTCTCTATTTATGCTGCATATTTTCCTTTACAAATTTTTATCATTATACATATTTTTTAATTTTATGTTCAAATTTTCACTCATTGTGTGTATACAATTCTTCTTTTCCATATTAGGATATGCTGCATATTTGACTTTCAACATTTCATCATACAAACAGTAAGCTGAGTGTGGACTCATGTTTCTGATGCAATACCCAGGACATCCTCCATCCCTCTACTCGTAACTTGCCTCATCTGCATACCATCAAAGTGTATTCATATGTAGCTGTTGGCAATGTAATACTATTCAACCGATAATGGATGTCATCGCTACGCTTCTTCATTTGGAGCTGGAGGTCATTCATATTAGTGGCGACTAGTCTGTGGTTAAATTTCTTTAACTTTTTGTAGTCATGCCAAAAGTGAAAGTAAGTCAGAAAACTAAATTACAGCTGTATCAACAGGAGCTTAAGGAGAGATGATAACTAAAGATAACAAAATTCTTTATTGCAAGCATGAGAAAAAACGGTTGTGATAAATGCTTTCAAGTGTTTCAGCATTTGAACACTAATATACACAAAGAAAATATCAAAATTAAATCCACGAAAAGTACTCCTGCTCCAATATTGCTTAGAGAATATCCTTCAACTTGTGTGAAGCCCTTTTAGCAGATGTTCTGCTGTGGAAACTAACCAAAACTATTTTGAGAAATTTCACAGAAAAGTATACACAGTGCAAATGCCAGATGAATCTACTGTGCATAAAAATTACCTGAAGCAGTGTTACAATCTTACAAATAAAAACATTAAAGATAAAATTCAAGATAGTTTCGTGTAGGCTATCAGTCGATGAAACACAAGACTATGGGGGACAATTTACTGCAAATATTATAGTTGGATCCCTCAATAAGAATGAACAATCTACCCCATTTCTTCTTGCAGTAGAACAATTTGAAACCTCAAACAGCTTTGCAGTTTCCAAATTTTTTATTGATTCCATAAATTTACTATGCCAAATGGCATTCATTATGAGTGTGTACTGTTCTTTGTGGCTGATGCCGCAAGTTATATGATCAAAGTTGATACTGCTCTTGAAGTTATATTTCCAAATATGGTACTTTTGACTTGCCTTGCCCATGGGTTCCACCATGTTGCAGAAATAATTTGTGCAAATTTTCTGCTGGATGACAAGTTAGCGTCTTCTGTGAAGAAGGTGTCTGTTAAAGTGTCATACAGAAAAGAAGCCTTTAAAGCAGTAGCACCAAACATTTCACTTCTACCAGAACCAATTTTAAAGTGCTGGGGCACATGGCTGTGTGCAGTGAGTTATTATATATCAAACATTTAGAAACAGTTAAGAATGTCATGAACACATCTGATCCCAAAAGTGCAGCATCAGTTTCACATTGTCCGAGATGTACTAAAAAACTCAGAACTGAAAACTAATCTTTCTTATACATCAGCTCACTTCCCTCATCTTCCATCCACTATTCCCTCACTGGTGGCAAGCAATAGCAATACTGCTTTGTACCAATTGTTACATGTATTCAGAACCACTATTTCCAAACTGAGTCTGGTTCCTGGAAGAGTTAGTGAAGTGGGAAAGTAGTAAAACATATACAGATTTCTATCAATAAACCCAGGATATGAACAAATTTGTGAAATTGAAGACATTTTTGCTTTCAAACATATTGAATTGCCAAGTAAAAAAGACTAAAAGTGGAGCAAATAGTGGCTTTTATACATGTGCCCTTAAGTTCGCGTGAGATGGAAACAAGTCTTTCCCACTATAAAGACATCTTATGAGACAAGAGGAGGCAACTAAAATGGAAAACCTACATTTAGTAATTGTGAACTGCAACAGTAGAGAATTTGAAATTTTGGGAAGCTAAATGTGAGTACCACTGTTTTTTTTTTAACTTGTAATGAAAAAACGTTGGCTCTGATGCACGATTTGTACTTAGCTTGTATAGCTTTTCACTGAAAGTGAATAATTCACTGATTACATAAAATTTAAGTGCAATGTTGATTTGTTGGTCTTAAAATAATGTAAAATCAATTTTAATGTTTGGTATGAACTTTTTATGTGCATATTTTGGAAGTTTTTCATGCATATATGCATATACAGTATATGCCAAAAATACAAGTACTGAAATTAAAAGACGTCCTGTCGATACCACTGTCTATTCATGTGAAGGCCCCTTGCATGACAGAACCTCCTCAAATCCTGAAATAATGGTCCGATCACCATGTCCCTGTAGCGTTCTTGGGTGACGGTAAGAGCATTGCCTTCCTCATCCTCAATGAAATAAGGGCCTAATGTACTGTGTGCCGAGACGGCACACCATATTGTCACACGTGTACTATGTAGAGGTTTCTGGACAATAACATCTGGCCGCTCAAAACCAAAGAAGCAAGTTGTCTGACGACCACTTCCATATGAATGGAAATAATACTCAACTATGAATACTTTTTCTTCCGTTGAGAGACCCATTTCCAACAACAACTGCACAACAAAACTTCCTTTTCTCTACTGGGAACATGTGCAGCTGGAGCTATGCCCTGTCAACAAATGCACATGCACGTTCGAGACGCGCGAGTTTCAGTACTGAATATTTTGGCGCATACTGTATATTTAGGGGATTATTAGGGCATAAAAATCTGTATCTACTAATCACCAACACAATAGTGAAAAGGTGAAAGAAGGAACTGGTGGAAAAGGTTGCTAAATTTTTCTGGAGATGCTATGCCATATCATGGGAAACATGGGTAGAAGATTAAAGGAATGCCTGCACAGAGATGGAGGTCACCTCCAAGACAGCATCGTCAGGAATTAAACAGCATGCTATGTACATTAAGATCACATATTTGTAATTTGGCAGTTACAAATTCCTTATTTATGTAATGAGTTTTTAAAACTGTCCATTTTCTTGCCATACCCTATACTATGTATTTTTACTGTTTTTGGTTTGAATTTCTATAGACAGGAAAATAATATTTTGCTTACCTTATTCATATGCCACCACGAATCTTCACTAGATGACTGACTGTTCAAACATGAAAATATTGTGCCATTGGTAAGACTGATCACAAAATTACACCAGTGTGTTCCAGTATTTTTACACAAGTGTAAATTGCTTTCAAAATGCTGGTGTAATTCCGTGAACCAGCTTTTCTGAAACTTTCATGGAATTAGCCAATATCATGCAATTAGCTAAGCTTTCTTCATGTATAGTAACCACCTTACGAACTGGGACCGTCTGATTGTCCTGAGTTCATGGTCCATTGTCTCAGACTGGAAATGAGGCGGTTTCGCTGAATATACAAAAACAGTCACTCCTCTCTGCTTCTAGTCTCACTTACAAACTTCCCTGTATTCTACAGCCAACCGAGAGACAAATGAGAACTGAATAAGTGAACAAGAATAACAACACGCAATGTGGTTGGTGATGGCAAACAGCTTGGACACAAGTCGCGTGATGTGTTAAAAACAAGGAACACCTATAAATGATGTTAAAATGATACATGTGCACAGACAAAACACTATTTGTGAAATCAGGTCTTTTGGAACACTTTTAAGATGTCTCTAAGCTCACCATAAAATTCTGCTGAATGGGTGCCCATGTGTACATTGTTGGGATGGGGGTGACAGCATTAATAATCTTTACAGGACTGTTCTGCACCTCCCCATCAGAACACACCACCTCAGCCTTCTTCATGCAAGCAGCATGCAGAGGAGTATCCTGCACTGAAATCCATACTGCCTTCCCGTCTGTCCATCGTTTCTGTTCTGCCATGAGAATGTCTTCAAGAGTAAACAAATACAGTATTAGCTTAACTACATTCCTCCTCAAATAGAGAACAGTTGCCACCCATGTTCCCCGCATGCTTTTATTTTTATATTTGGAATATGGGACAGTGCTGATAATCCAAAAGCTCATCAGCCAAATACCATTACCAAAATATCAAGTATCAAAACATAATTTTTCTTATTGAACAAAACTACTGTTTACAGAAAAAGGGGGGACAAAGCTGCTTGCATCCATGACATTCTTTAAGTCATACATGTCCCCTGGGTAGTGCAAAAGGAGCAACAAAACCTGGCAAAGCTTCCCAAAAGAAAAGTGCAAACTTCAAGATGCAACAAAGCAAGAACTTGAGTGCTCTCTATTGGGAAACAAGAAGCAAAATGGGTTAAATGATACCAAATGCAGCCATTGGAAACCAACCGTTTACAGAAAAATGTTACAAACATATTAATTTCAGTAATTGTATATTTTTATAAGAAACTGTTGTGTTGACAGATGTAGAAATACTCAATGTACATGATACACAAAACAGGTTTTGGATTTGATGATCAAATTTATCAGACCTTTATACAACTTCTCACAACATTTCACAAATCGCTATCTTCAACTGGACACTCTCGACTTCTGACCACATTATCCCACTACTCTCTCTCTCTCTCTCTCTCTCTGGAGCCGAAGTCAAAGTCAAAGTTACTTTACAACTGGCAGCTTACTGCCCATCAGTTTGTCCTAGCATCAAGCCCCTTGAGATCCATGAACAAAGACTTTTTTTTTTTGCAACTGAACCCCTACAGTCATAGTCCCTATGTAACTTCTTGTCTGAGAAGATGGGTTTGTTTCTTATGAATACGTTTGGCCTTTCATCAAGTGTACATTTCACACATATAGCATGTCACTGAAAAATTCTTGCTTTTGCACTACACACAAGTCATCTGTCAGTACAGGCTTTGCAGAGAAAATCATGCCTCTCTTACATATCTTATGCTACAACAGCAGCCTAGTCACTTGAACGGTCATAACCTTGACCACTGCCAAGTTTAAGCTTCTTATATTTTCTATGTCTGGCTTCACCTTGTTCTATAACTCGAACATGTTCATTCTCATGATTCCGTATGACTTTTGCTTGTTGTATGCACAATTTTGTTATATAGTTGTATACATATGGAAGGTTAAAAGCTGTGTGCAAACCGCGAAATGGTATGCACATTGGAAAATTTCCAATGGTGCACACAACCTTGTTTTGCAGGCACTGCAATTTTTGGAAAATTTCCAATGATGCGGACAACCTTGTTTTGCAGGCACTGCAATTTTAAGAAGTAGGTGTGTGCCGCTAAATCCCAGGTGGGACAAGCATATGTCATTACTGATCTGATCAGTGCCTTATGGAGGGTTACTTTGATGCTGGTGCTTAAATGCTCACTTTTCAGTAGGGAGTAGATTCTGATTAATGTTCTTAAGGCCTTGGCTTCATTCATTTCTAAGTGCAGTCTCCATGTAATCCTCTTATCGAAGATTACACCGAGATATTTTACGTGACTGACAAAGGGGACAGTCTGTCCATTCAGTGTAAGAAGAGCCTCAGGGGGCCTAAGTCTACGAGAAAGGTAAACGGCCTGAGTAGTATCTTCACTGATTTTTATGTTCCAGCACTCACACCACGTCTCAATAGCACTGAGATCTCGCTGCAGCTTTCTGAGAACATTATCCTCTTTGCAGCCTGTCGCATATATACAGGTGTCATCATCAAAGAGACCTATATATACATCAGGTGCTTGGGGCGTATCATTTCTATATACTGTGCAATGTCAGGGACAGGAGAGAACATTGTGACACCCTTGAATTCATATCCCTTGGTGCAGCCAGTTCACCTTCGACCAGAACTATGAATTTTCTCTGAGAAAGGAAAGAGCTAATAAGCTTGATTAAGCCGATCAAAAATTTTAATTCAGATAATTTATATAGCAAGCCAAAGTGCCAAATTTTATCAAATGCTTTTTCAATATCCAAGAATGCAGCAGCTGTGGACATGTTATTGTTGAAATTTAAGGTGAGATGGTTCGTAAGCCTCATACACTGAAGTGTCATGCAGTGATGGGCACAGAAACCAAACTGGCTTCAATTAAGAAGACCTCTTTCTCCAATGTCTCTTTTGACTATTTTCAGAATAACTTTCTTGAATAGCTTGCCTGTTACAGACAAGAGGATAACTGGACATAAATGTTGTGGAAACTTTTGGTCCTCACCAGTTTTTGGTAACATAACTTTCACTTCCTCTCAAGCCTTTGAAAAACTGGACAGCCAAAAGCAGTGATTAAATAAATGTGTCAGATGTACCAGTGGTCTTTTTGGAAGATGCCTAAGGCATTCAATTGGAATACCATCAAGTCCACAAGTTTTTCTCAATTTCAATGATTTTGCTAAATTATGTATGTCACATGGCTTTACCTTTGCCTGCGGGGTTCCACCTACAGATGCAAGCAGGGCTTGGACTGTAGTCTCCACCT